TGTGATAGCTACTCTAAACAAGAGAACTACTTATCGATTGATGATGTAATGTCAAATGGCCTGAACGACAACAAAAGGCAAAAACGGCAACTAGACATTTCCTTGTTCATAATTGTCTTTTAAAATACATGTTACGTTCATTCACTGCTCCTTTTAGATGTAATTCCAGTTCATAAAATTCCGAACTACTTTTTGTTCCCTTCCAAATTTCAGGCTTCATATTAGCAGACGAGGGGTACGACGTATGGCTAGGAAATGTCCGCGGCAACAGATACTCGCGGAGAAACTTAAATTTGGCCACGTCAGACGCAGATTTCTGGACGTTCAGGTACAGTCAGGTATAATTATTCGTTCATGGCCAGAAATCGAGACAATGTATTCTGATCCGTTCGTACAGCTGGCATGAAATCGGAATATACGATATTCCAGCGATGATCGATCACATTACCGAGCAAACAAAGCAGGAGAAGATTTTTCTGGTAACGCATAGCCAGGGTGGCACCGCGTTCTTCGTGATGGCCAGCGAACGGCCGGAGTATCAAGAGAAAATCATCGCCCATTCTGTTTTAGCTCCAGTAATTTTCCTGTCCAGAGCAGGAGCTTCTCTTGCCAAACTGTTGGCCCTCGTAACTGCCAATGGCAACGTACGCTTCGAAATCTAATTTTAATAACATTAATAATTATTAAAGCTTTCGATATTATTAATTTCCAAAACAACTAATCTCGATATCAGGCGAAACGGCAATGAATTAACATTTCTGTTTATTTTTTTCAATCTTTTCGTAGCGGATATTAAATTTACTGGACATATATGAAATTAAACCATCCGACGTACTTGTACCTACAGCTGGAAAAGTAGCATGTCCTAAAGAATCACCTCTGTTGCCATTGTGTAAAGGCATCCTTGACCTATTATTTGGCTTCGACGAGAAACTTAATACGGTAATCAGATGTAAATAACAGTGCATTGTTAATCGATATATTTTCACGTACTAATTCTGAATTCATAGAGTGCGTTGCTTCCTGTTTTTCAATACGCTCCTGCTGGCGCATCTATTAAACAATTTGCACATTATGGACAGT